GTGCTTTGGCCTCACTTACACGGTATCGCAAATCACTTCCCGATAGGTCACCCATCCTTTGACTACTCCAGCTCAAGCACGCTTAACTCTGGAGTTCTCTCTGGATGTGCTCCCGAAAAGGTAAGTGCACTTTGGTGACATAGGTAGCCAAATCAATTCTTTTAAGCCTTTCCATATACCACAAACCGGGATGTTACAACAATATTTAACTTCAACGATCAACAAAACTCTGGAAACACAATAGTTCCCTGGTGTATCTATGTTTAAACAGTTTCCACAATTGTAGAAGAATCAATCTTTATTTCCTTTCAAGACTTTTTAAGAAGAAAAAGATATGTTTCATCAGAGAAATGAAGGATACAAAACAAGAAACACAAAACAAATCCAAAAGATACATATAAACCATATGCATCAAAACCTAACTTCGACTAAATATTTTTTTTAAAAGGTAATAAAACCAAACAAAACACAACCATTATAGAGAGAACTCAGTATCCTTCTTCAAATCATTCAAGTTTTCCTTCACTTGGCACTGGCGAGCTGGGAGCGGATGAGCTTAGCCGCATCAACCATGTTCTTCAAGGCAGGCTTAACCTCTGTGTACTTACGGGTCTTGAGACCACAGTCGGGGTTAACCCAAAGGATGTTCTGCTCAAGAACAGCAAGCATCTTGTTGACTCTGTCTGCGATTTCCTCAGAAGATGGGATTCTTGGAGAGTGGATGTCGTAGACACCTGGACCAATACCAGCACCGTACTTCACTCCCTCACGGAACACAGAGAGAAGCTTCTCATCAGATCTGGAGTTCTCAATGGTGATGACATCAGCATCCATGTCGATGATGGAGTGTATGATGTCATTGAAGTGGGAGTAGCACATGTGAGTGTGGATCTGCAAAATACAACCAGGAGCACAAGTTATAAGCAACTGAGGAAGCATTTCACTCCAACAGAATCAAGCGATATGTGTTTAAGGGAAGCGAACCTGGGTGGTGTCTTGGACGCCACAGTTGGTGATTCTGAAGGAGTGAACAGCCCAGTCCAAGTAGAAAGCGTGCTCGGACTTCCTGAGTGGTAATCCTTCTCTGAGTGCAGCCTCATCGATCTGAATGACATTAATTCCACCTTTCTCAAGATCCTCGACTTCGTCCTTGATGGCCAAAGCAATCTGGTAACAGGTTTCGTGCCTACATAGTTTCCAAGAATATTTAGTTTAATGATTTTGTTATCTTTGTAGTAGTAGGCTACGTTTGTTTCAGACTAATGTTTTTTTTATGTATGCACCTGGGCTGGTCGTTTCTGACGAAGGACCAGTTAAGAATGGTGACAGGGCCAGTAAGCATTCCCTTCATTGGGCGAGAGGTCATGCTCTGAGCCATTGCGGACCAGAAGACGGTCATTGCCTTGGGACGGCTCACATCACCGTAGATGACTGGTGGTTTCACACAGCGAGATCCATAAGATTGCACCCATCCGTTTGCGGTGAAGGCAAAACCAGACAACTGCTCCCCGAAGTACTCAACCATGTCGTTTCTCTATAAATTTGTTGAAACATGTCTCGTTAGAAACATTAACAAGGAATACCAGTAATAACTTTGAATTGACATCACTCTACTTCAAGAGTTCAGGCGATTAACATATAATACTAAAAGTAAAAGCTCACCTCTGGCTCTCCGTGGACGAGAACATCAATGTCAAGTTCCTCCTGGAGGTCAACAACTTTCTTGATCTCTTCCTTCATTGCCTTAACATAGTCCTCCTCAGAAACCCTATTAAAGAAACGTTAGTATCATACCGTATAAGGATATATCAGAGATTAAATTTAGGAGACTAACTTCTTGGCCTTGTACTCTCTGCGAACTCTCCTGAGCTCTACGGTCTGTGGGAAGGATCCAATGGTGGTGGTTGGCAGGATTGGGAGGTTGAGCTTCTTTTGTTGAGCATCGAGCCTAGCACTGACATTAGTTGCACGACGGTGGTCTGAGCCCTTCAAAGCGGCAGCCTGAGATAACAAGCAGAAAACATCCGGTCAATAAAATATAAAGAACATAACATCGTTGAACGTGAACATAGCTTCGGTTTGGCGTCAAACTTACAGCCTTCTGAACACCCTCGTTGGTGACTCTTGGGGAAGATCTCCTTGAAGCCAAAGCAGCAGCGTTGGCAGAGAAAAGAGCCTGAGAGAGAAAACAATATTAGAGTTCTACTGCTTACCAAATCATTTACATTGCAGATTATTCAAGGATTCATTAACTCGGAGGTGGATAAAACTTTTTTGAAGAATACCTCATCCTTGTGACCAGCCAAAGCCTTGGCCAAAGCGTTCACTTCAACGACCTTCTGGGCGGCAAAGGCCAACCATGACTTGATCTCGTCGTCAAGCTTGGTCTCGTTTACAAGATCGACGGCGGTGTGGAGAAGAGAGCAGGAGGTTGAGACCACAAGCTTGTCTGAATCATTACAAAAAGATTAACAGATCAGTATACATTTTTGAGTACTCCCGTAATCTTGTCAGGTGACTCGGTTAAAAGGCAGATGAATCTGGAAAGACATAATACCTTTTCCAACAACACCCTCAAGTGCCTCCAAGGTGCTGAGAGACGCAGCAAAGTCATTGGCCCAGATGTTCCTTCCGTCAACAACACCAGCGAAAAGGTACTTTCCGGCGGGGAAACTTGCCTTGACCAGATCAAGGGTCTTGGTGCCACGAACCAAGTCAAATCCAAAAGCAGTCACACCCTTCAACGAAGTTAGGGTCTTGTATGCTTCAGCAGGGATATCAGCGAAGTAGGTCTCGACAAGAACATTCAAACCAGAAAGAGTTGATTCAAGTTCAGCATAAGCTCCAGTGAACGCCTCGAGTTTGTGGCCCTCAAGGTCCATAACAAGGACAGGCTCGTCAAGCTGAATCCAGGTGGCACCAGCAGCCTTAAGCTCGGTGATAACCTCCCTGTAGACAAATAAAAGTCATCATGTCAGTAGTGTGTCAGAGTATCATTCATAGCATCAAGGACATGGCTGCCAAAATAAAGAAAAAAAGAGATAATTTCTTACTTGTAGACAGCGAGGACTTTGGGGAGAAGAGAAAGAAGGTCAAATGACTTCTCAACACCCTTGGCAGCCTTGGAAAGCAACAAGTAGGAAACTGGGCCAACAAGTACAGGGACGGTCTCAACACCAAGCTGCATAAACATAAAATTTATCAGATCAGAACTTTAGACAGAAATTACTCTAGATGTACAAAAGACAACCATAGTCAAATTAATTCTGATTTCTATTCAATCAACCAAATGTGGTTTGTGAATAAGCAAGTTAGTATATTCTTAACATATCAGCATCCTTGGTGAAACAAGATTCAATGAATCTAAGCTAAAACACTAACTTCTCGAACCAAAGCCTATGATCCCCTAGTAAATTGAAAAGAGTGAAGAAAGAAACGTACAGCCTTGGCCTCCTTGTACTCATTCACAGCCTTGTGAGAAGCGTAAGAAAAATTGACCTCAGGGCCCAACTCAGGAACGATGTAGTGGCTGCGTCAATAAAAAACATCAACACATTAGTCCACAACTAAAAAGATCCCTAACTAACAACATAACCACACAAGAAAGCGTTGGAGACTCACTAGTTGGTGTCAAACCACTTAGTCATCTCCATAGCTGGCACAGACGCGTTTCCTCTAGCCATAGAGAAATAAACATCCAACCCGATCTCCCCACCGGTGTACCCATACCTAGGTGGAACAGCACCGAGCATAGCAGTAGTGTCGAGCACCTGGTCGTAGTGAGCAAAGGTGTTGCTAGGGATGTACTTAGTCCCAGCCTCAGACATCTGTTTCCAGATAGCAGACCTGAGATCAGCAGAGACCTTCTGGAGATCCTCAGCAGTGCTCTTGCCATCCCAGAATGATTCCAACGCAAACTTGAGCTCTCTCTTGGGGCCCATGCGTGGGTATCCAACAATGTGTGACGCCATTTCGATTTACTTTTACTGCATCAAACAAACAAACAAAAATATCAAGATCAATATCTCTTGAATCAAATAAAAAGACATTTTAACTTTTCTCTAACTACTGGGACAAGTGCCGTGCGGTTCTAATAATAACAAAAACATATATAATATTAACTATTCAAGGCACGGCAGTGTGGTGCGGGAGCATATATATTAGGGATTCGAATGGTAACCAATCACCCCGTATCACACCACCGTAAATAATAACAAAAATCTCTACATATACTTATGTATTTATATATTTTTGTTACTATTTGAACTACAACACAGTTATTTACACAGTTCTCCGGTACTTTATCATTCCGAGCCTAAGATAATAAAACAAAGTTTCAGACTCCAAGAAAGTGGCGAATTTAAAAGACACGTGTTTACAAAAAAAAAGTCGAAAAGTAGGTAAGCTTTTTGTCGTATATATGAATTGAGATGATAAAACAGATGAAGTCTACTTCAAAGTGGAATCAAACCACATTCAACATTTTTCACTACGAGATTTATTTTTAAAACCGGATCTAACATACACACACACTCATGAGAATCGATCGCAAATCAGATCCGGAACCACCAGATCTACAAATCGACCGACACTACTAAAATCTCAGATCTGTGATTGATGAAAACACTCACCGTTTAGATCTAAGTGATGTTCAAATATTCAAGTCAAATCACACTAATAACAACGAAATGAGAAGCGAAAGGAGGGGGGCCTAAATAAGGGAGACGTGGGGAAGCGAAGGAATCACGGAGACGTACCTCGCGGAGGAAGAAACGGAGGAGAAAGGGTTGGCTAAGAGAAGAAGAGAGGGAGAGGACGAGGAAGAAGAGTGGCCTCTGTGACTTTATTTATAGCAAAACTAATATTGAGATCTGGTGGTGGGAGTGGTGGATATTTTCGGCAATTAATCATTTTTTATTTATTTAATTCTTCTGTTTTTTCTTTCTTATTTACGGCTGTGTTTATTCCCCTGGAATATACTGTTTTCTTACCAAAATTTAAGTCGAATAAAATCAATTTATAAATTATAATACGATCTTATGCGATACATGTAATATCTAATTAAAAAAATTATTATATAATACCTGTAGACTGTAGTTAGTTGTATTGGAATTTTTATTGGTAAAGTTCACTCTAGAAAAAAATGTTTATGACAGCAGTAAAGTGAAGTCCAATCATTTTATTAAACGTATGCTAAGGGGATTAAAACGTGAAGGGGAGTTGGTGTACGTGGGAGGGATTAGTAGGAGTGGGTGGTGGCGTGGGACCCACGGAGGTTGGTGGAGATTCACATTTCACAGTAACGTTTGCTGAATATGAGGGCGCGTTTTTAGTGTCACCACCACGGAGTATCGACATGGAGGCATGTTCCACCGTGTTTTGGAAAATTTGGAGAGCTGACTGAACCTGATTATTATTTTTGATGAAAAGTTTATTGAATTCATACAATTTAACTTTTATCAGAAAAAACTCTTGAAAATTTTAAGTTTCTATTACTTTTATTAATTGGATGAATAAATATATACATCTTAGTCATAACAATAATACTTTTGGTAGTTCACAATATTTTTTTTCTTTAATACTATTAATCATCGACTCATCCATCAAAATTTAGGTATTTGAGTTAAACTGGTTAAAGACACGACTTACTAGCCCATTAGGTCAAATGTTTAACTTTTGTCGTTATACTTATCAATCATCCATCATACTATACATATTTGCATATTCATTATAATATATTAACACAATTTTTATGCTATAAATTACCGTATAAATTTACATTGATCTTGAACCAGCAGCTCGTAATTAAGTTGTAACAGTGCAAAATTTTAGCCAAAAAAAAAAGGTTGTAACAGTGCATGTTAAGTTGTAAGCTTTTCTCTATTTATAAAAGATTCGAACGAGAGAAAAGACTCAGACATCCACCAAAATGTATATTTTGATAATCAAGTGAGCTATATCCCTTACAGGATCATATGCTATTGATATTTTTAATGGTGTACTTGTTCAGTGAGTACAGTAGTAGGTAAAGAAGGGGTTATATATGGTTATGGACCATAATATATAAATGTTACTGTTTAAGATTCATAAACAAAATGGTGAGTGGTCGTAATCTTGTTGTTTGGCCACCAAACACTAATTCTTAAATTTTATTAACTTCATCGATTCCTTTGATTACATGTTACTTTACTGATCTAACTTTTGAATTTTCGTTATGTTCATTTCATAACGTTAAATATTGCTTATTAGTGGTGATACGCCAAAACTTTTGCGGGTGTAATAATAGATTTATATAAACTATAAACTACAAGGCTCAGTGTTCTCAGTCCTGCGTTAAACCATTTACATACTATTAGTCTATTCGCTTAGTGGGATCAGTTTGTCACTAATCATTAAACCTCACTTTTATTATTTCAAGATTACCAGAGCCTAACTAGAGCGCACATACACTACTTGATTACTAGTCCTAAGCCAAATTGGATAAAACATTTGCTTTTGATCTCCAAATTTTTTGAAAGAAAATTATATATACATAGATCTCCAAAAAAAGAAAAAAATTAGACTTTCAAATCCATCAAAAGAAATTTAGTTAAAAACATTAAAAATCGTATTAGATCCCTAAATTTCATAGTCGTCTTGATTACTATAAGCTCTTTTGGGAGACTTGTAAGAATATTCTAAGTTCAATATAAATAATTTGAACGTTGGCGTATTGAAAATTGTGCAATGTGTATAATGAGTTTCAAAATAATAAAATGAAGATGATGCTGTTGCGAACAGAGAATACAGTCAACAATGTGCTGCTTTTTTCCTTATCAACGTCAACAAAATGCTTATTGATACAATAGAGATGAAAACTACAAGTTAGTTTTTATTTTATTTGTAGACAAAGTAGACTATAGGTTAACTAAATAATTAAATGATTTGTATTCTGTGCTATTTTATTACGACAAATTGGGAATCACACTAGACTTTAAGTAGCAAGAAAATTGCATATGCATCCATAAATCTGGTTTGTCGGTGGATTTAGATCTAGCAGAATTCACACTAGCATTTAATGAAGAAATTCATTTTTATTTTTAATTATACTGAAAAATAAAATACATTAAACAGCTCGAACGCAAAAAAAAAGTTCAAGTTAGAATGTATTTGATAAAATGATTGAGCTAATTCGAACGCGTATTGTAGAAAATTATACGACCATATTATATGTTGTGTATCTCACATTTTTTTCGCCATCTTGAGTTTGGTAGATCATATAATAAACAACGAATCACAAGACCAAAACCATCCTTATTGCTGGCTTATAAAACTTTGTAATTAAAAAATGATAAATGCATGCTTTTTGCATGTGAGTTTGTAAGGAAACATACATATACATTATGATTTCACTTGAAAGTTAATCATTTAGTTTAGTTTTGTTTATGTTTGTTGAGTCATTTAGTTTAGTTTATGTTTGTTGAGTTCGACCGTGTTGGATTTTAGTTTTTATTCTAGTTGAATTACGAAAATATAATTTATAAAACGTAAAACAAATCATCATTTGATATTATTTAATATTTTAATATATTTAAGTGTAAAGTTAAATAGTACAATAAAATTTAAAAGATGTAATCTAATAATCTTATATTATTATTTTCAAATAAATATATATAGATAATTAATCGATTTTGATGATATTATATAAAATTTGTATTATATTATTTTATTTTATTACTAGTTATGTCTCTTCTATTCATTTAGAAGTAAAACATATAAAATTATGTTTAATTATTTATATGTAAATAGTTAAATATCATAAATTTTAATATTATAAGGATATTTAGTTAATCTAATAAATATTTCGTTTTTAGTTTTGTTCAGTTAAATTCGAATCAAATCGAACCATTTAGTTGATAATATCTCCAACCAAATGGTTGAAACTCGATCAGATCTTGATGCGGTTTATGTCTCCCAATCTTTCATCTTCCTTCTCTATATTCATGCCTGCCATTTTCTTCTTGGCTTTCTCCTGTAGTGGATCATTGGAAGTCCACCTACACCATCATTAATGATGCCAAAAAAAAAGTTCAAAAAAGCAGATACAAAATTCTCCCTCCATAACCATCATTCACATCATTAGCTTCCAATGATTCATTTCAGTTCTGAGCTTATCGTTTCTACACTCAAATGAGAGCTATTTTGTTTCACATCAAAAGCCTATGACTAACCAAATGTAAGGACGGAAACACTTACGGGTTACTCCAATCGGTTGTATCCTCATTGACAAGGTGAGTCCATTTAACTCTCCCACTGCGACCAAAGTGCTTGACTTGCAACTTTTGGCAGAATCGATTTGTTCAACTTATCTTCACCGGTTAGTGCAGAGAAGTCGCAATGGAATATACCATTCTGTTCCAACTGATCCCGCCTAGTCACCAGGATCTGCCTAGCAGAAGGCTCCCTTGTGGTAATACTTCTGCATGAAGTTCCATTTCTGTTTCGGTTTACCTGTGAACACTTGTTTAGTGTTAAAAGAAAACCAAATATTTTAATTAATGAAATGTAAATCAGTTAAAGTGCTAACGGTTGTTTCCAGGAGTAAACAAATAGATATAATTCTCCAAAGGGCCCGTGTCAGAAAAATTTCTGATGACAACATCAGATGTGAAGCACACATTCTTACAACACAATTGGTTTTGATTTCACTCTTTTTGTTGTTAGAGGAATCCGATTTCAATCCAAAAAGAAACTTGCAAACTTTTCATACTATTTATTCGTTGACCTCTTTGTATTGGTATCTTCATGTTGCACCTCTCTTTATTGGTTCATGAATTTTGATCTCATGGAACTGACTGATACGATCGCAAACTTAACACAGACCAACATGGACAGAGCTATCTTTTTTTTTTTTTTGTAATTTATCTGTTCATGTTTTATGTGCATAGAGCTGAAACATTTAAAACCAAAAACATTCATTCACCGTTCAAGGGTCAAACCCGAAAAAACCAGACAGCAGAAAGAAAAAAAACTGAAACACACATTAACAGAAATAGACAAAATACAAAAGCTTTCAGACAAGATTACAACCAGACCAGAAGATAACTCATAACTATGCCGCAGCTCCTGAAACCAAATCTCCGGTGGATGTGGCACTACTGTCTTCAGAAGAAAGAGCGAGCGGAGTCCAATCCGGAGGGAGAGGAGGAAGAGGAGCATAAACAGTGGGCTTTCTCTTAATGTCCCAAGGCTGCGTCTTCTTCGGTCTTGTCTTCCTGTGATGAGCCGTCGATTTCTTCTGCGGCCTCGACGAACACTCTATCACCATTCCCAATCCTCCTCCGTTTCCAAGTTTAGGAATTTGAAATTGGCGGAGAGACGGCGAAGCAGCTACGGTGACGAGTCCGGTGCCAAAGATCGCTGACACAGACATTTTGTTTCTTATCTTTCTGCAATATCTTCGGAGTAGAGAGACACCATATCTTATTTTATTGCTGGCCTTTTAAAGTTCCTATATGGGCTTTCTCAGCACATAGTTAATAACGAGCCATATCTAACTCGTTATGCTGCAAGCTTTAGATAGATAATTAAATTTATTATTTATTATTCTTGTAAGTGCATTCAAATTGTATGTAGTTGCAAATTACATGTATGTATGGGAATTTTAACATTCTGAATTTTGACTTTGCAACCACTATATTAAGAGATACATGTATAATCGCAACCATCCTAAGCTAGTTTATATGCATGAGTCCATGACCTATCTTTATTCTTTTGAACCACAGACATTATGTCTCATGCTTATTTAGATGATGACATAATTATAAATGTATTTTTTTTGGTAAAATAAAAATGTATTGTTATTCATGATATTTAAATATTTCAAGTGTATTTTTCGGTTTTCTATTTTTTTTTTTATCTAGTACTTACTAATTAGTTCGAGTTTTGAGTTTTCGGCTTTTAACTAATGTTGTTCGTTTACTGTTTTTTTTTTTTTTTGTAACACATAGAATTTTCATTCATCTAGCCCCTGAGGGTGGAGTTCATTACATTAGATTCAAATAACAGGGCTTGTTTTGCCAAAGCATCAGCCTCTTTGTTTCTTTCCCTAGGGATCCAAGCAAATTGGATGAGCTCAAAATCAGCAATTACAACCAAAATGTCTGCAATAATGCCATAGATGTCTGAACTCGGTTTTCCTGATGTAACCGCTCTAACAAGCAGAGTCGAGTCAGTCTCGCAACGAAGGCGTCGGATCCCCAACTCCTTACATTTGAAAATTGCTTCCCTTAATGCCAGTGCTTCAGCCACCAACGGTGAAGCCACAAAGTGGCAGTGAGCTCCAAAGGAGGAGCGTTCAGAGTTCTTCTGGATAAACCACCCAAGACCAGCGATTCCAGAATCCTCCCTCCATGCCGCATCTGTCAAATATTTACTGTTTATTAAATATTTTTTGAAAGAAACTTGTTTTATAGCAATTTAGATTTTTCTGAATTTATGCGTTGGTGTTAATTTGTCAAATGATATATAGTGGCTTTCCGCAATTGTAAATATATCATACTAATCGTAAACCGGCTAATAGTAGTTAAAACAAATTGTGTTTGAGAAAGCGAACATCACACGAGATGCACTTGCATTCTAGTACATTCATTTTGTTTTGGTGGCTATTACGGCTTGCCAGTGCTGCCAAAGCGATCAATAAATAGTTAAATACATAGTCCAAACCATTTCAAATCATGGTTTGTGTCTTACTTGAATACCACGCCTAAATTAGGCTTTAAACTAACTACCGTCACCAACATAATTACCAATTTCAGTTCTCCACTTTTTTTTGTTTCATTTCCAGTTCTTATCTATTTGTCACTTACTTTATTCATTTCCATGTGCATCGAATTATCACCCCCTTGTTATTGTCTGTCTACAAATAACTATTTTGGTTTCTTTATATACACTAAGTACCACATATCTACACATCAACAGCTCAGCCTTATAATTTATCGTACGAGGAGATTCTGTCGGTTAGACCTAATTAGGGCATCACAAACCTATGGTAGCCATTAGCCATTGCATTAGTATTTGATTTGCAAACCTTATCCTTATCTTTAATATCGTTGAAATGGTAGTAACCGTGATATAAACCTAAACCAAATTTGTTTTTTAATAACTACTTTTCAAATAAACTACATCAGTTCGAAAACTGTAATAAATTAATTGTTCTTATGCATATATAGAACCGGTTTTGGACATAAGTGAAAGAAAAAATCGTCTTGTCGCCCAAATTAAAAAAAAAACTATTACACTTTAGATTACATGACTTCCAATTATCGAAAGAACTTTAAAATAAAAAATTTTAAAAATATTTATTGCTTCCCAAAACCCTAAAAGCCGGTCAGTCATGAGTATACCGTATATCTAAAACAAAAAGGATGTCATTATATGCATATAGTTGTCCGTTTTACAGGTAAGGTTCTTGTGTGAAAGCCAAATTTGAGCAAATTTCAGCCATGTGATTGCTTTTCTGAGGATAAATTTTGGTACATCGAGCAGATCAGAACCATATGAATCGCCTGCTCTCATGTTCTTTGCATTATTGTTCTTAGAATATATAACAAGAGTTTATATTGTGTACTACACTGCCATACCAGCTGGATGAATATACCATGAATCTTTGGATTTTTTCTACTTCTCAATATTTTAGCTTCCCACCTAAATAAAAGAGTACCGATCCTTGTTGGACTATAGAATATCAAACAAGAATCATGAAATGTGTGACTTTGTAGAAGATTGTACGTGCATGTTTTTTTAATAAATGTTAGCCGGTTGTTACGACGATATGATCCACGTGCCATGTGCTATTGATATTTTTATTTATTATTAAAATTGGTATTTTTTAGCAACAAAAAAAAACAAAACATGAAAATATTTCATCTCGTCCGAATTTTATCTCCGTGGTTTCTTTTTTGTTTGCATCATCTTTCAAATCTTCTTTCTCAAAAAAAAAAAATCATCTATCAAATCTTACGTATGTTTTCTTTTTTTTTTGAAAAAGGGAATTCTCAAATGTTTTTTTTTGTAGAATTGCATCTCAAATGTTACGTATGTTTTCGGTAAAATTAGACGTATATATCATTACACAAGAAAACCAAATCGTAAGAACATTTTGAAAGTCGTGATCGGTTAGGATTACGTCGCAAAGATACTTCTCAATCATAACGACCTTTAGGTTTGGACTTTGGAGTTTTCTCTATTTTATTATTTGTTTCAAAAATTATAGTTCAGTTAATTATAAATTAATGACAATTTATAGTTGATCAGAGATATATAGCCATATATAATATACTACTACTAAATAATTAGGCGGGAAAACGTTAGGCAATGTAAAGATTTTGATGGCCGTAAGAAATACAAAAATATGCAAAAAGATGTTGATGTTATTCAATTATTTTCTTTTTGTAAAGACCTAAGTTGGTAATCAGTTCGTCCATTATATGAAAACTATTGCAACACTTAGTTATGTTTTACTATGAACATGTGTTTTATAATTATTGCTACTAACAATTTTACTTTGAATATTAAAGTTGATTAATAGATAACTACAAGATTTTCTCCTTAATTCATCCTCCTAATAGACGTATATGCCTGGGCACAAATTGGATATTGAGTGATAGTATTTGTTTTGTTTCAAATGTTTACGGATATTCTAAATTTTCGGATCGAATCGAAACAAATAACGAATCAAATCAAATTTAACGAATAAAATGCACAGCATTAAGGATTGGTACAAATATCCCGGCACGTGTGGTTTGTATGCCTATGTGACTATTACACTTGAAAATTGGACTCCAAGTTGGACCATATAAAAATATGATGTCGTTACGAGAATATCTCGTAAAATCAATAATGGATAAACAGATTTTACAAAAAAAAATATAAAACTTTGTCAACTTCGATTTTTCTTCTTTTATGAATAATTGAATGTAACCTTCCCCACTTATTTTTTGTTTCTAATAAAACAAAAACAATAGCTCCACCTACTCACATCCGCATGAAAAGGAATCTTGTATGCTTTGATCTATTAACCATCCAAAAATCTCACATCAATAATATTAATACAAATAAAAAGACAATTTCATGTTTTCATTATTATATCAAAAACCTAACACCCCTCTCATTATTGCTCCCACTTCAAACCAATTTGCTTCCTTGAATGGCAAGTCTATTCTCCTCACCTCTCAGCTCACGTTCTCTCTCTCTTGTTATCAACCTCTTCTTCATCTTCCTCATTTATCTCCATTTCGCTTCACCAAATCCTCCTCACTCATCATCCACCAAATCCCTAAACTCTCTCGGTGTCAATGACAATGAGAGCTGCAGTGACGGCCTCGCTGCCTTAGAAGACCACCGTTCCAAGTGTTCTTACATTATATCTCAATCAAAATGTGCCCCACAAGGCTACATAGACTATCTCAAAATTTTCTTCTGCGTCTTCGGACAATCCCCTGTGTTAGGCCATCTAGTTTTATGCCTCTGGTTGTTTGTTCTGTTCTACTTGCTCGGAGACACTGCCGCGAGTTACTTCTGTCCTTCTTTAGACAAGTTGTCTAAAGTCTTGAAGCTCTCTCCTACGATGGCTGGTGTTACGCTCCTCTCTCTAGGAAACGGTGCGCCAGATTTATTCTCAAGTGTTGTCTCATTCACACGGTCGAATAATGGAGATTTTGGTCTCAACTCTGTTCTAGGCGGTGTGTTCTTCGTCTCTAGCTTCGTTGTCGGGACGATTTGCTTGTTGATTGGCTCTCGAGATGTCTCTATCGACAAGTACAGCTTTATCCGCGATGTGGTTTTTCTTCTGGTTGCTCTTTGTTGTCTCGGTTTGATCGTCTTCGTCGGAAGAGTAACCATATGGGTTTCACTTTGTTACCTTTCTATTTATCTACTCTATGTAGGGTTTTTATCAGTTTCTCTTTTCTTGGATCGCAAGAAACCTATATCCCATCAGATTCTCCGTACTAGAGAGGATTTAGCCGAGATGGGCGTCCCATTACTCAGCTATATCGGTGAGGAGAAGCCGGTTCCACCGCAAAAGGTTGCTCAAGAATCAAGAACTCAAGAACAAGAATTCAAGATTGTGGTTCTTGATTTGCCAAAAACGCAGCCGTCTTGTTTCTCGGTGCTAGTAAGCATCATAGGACTACCTCTATATCTCCCACGGCGGCTCACGATTCCTGTCGTCTGTGAAGAGAAATGGTCAAAGCCTTGTGCGGTTGTTTCCACAGCCATCGCACCTGTTCTACTAACCGAACTTTATTGTGCTCATTACAACGGGTCCAAAAGAAACCTAATCATGTACATATTATCTGGAGTTATCGGGTTATTCTTTGGTATCTTAGCGTTCTTGACAACGGAAAACTCTCGTCCACCCAAGAAATTCTCACTGGTTTGGCTTCTAGGCGGCTTCACAATGAGTGTGACATGGACATACATCATAGCACAAGAGCTAGTCTCATTGTTAATATCCTTAGGGAATATCTTTGGTATTAGTCCTTCCGTGCTAGGACTAACCGTTCTAGCTTGGGGAAATTCTCTAGGCGATTTAATCGCTAATGTGACCATGGCAGTTAATGGAGGCAACGATGGTGCGCAAATAGCACTTTCAGGGTGTTACGCCGGTCCGCTATTTAACACGGTGATTGGACTAGGCGTGCCACTTTTGATCTCCTCTTTGGCTGAATATCCAGGGGTCTATGTTATTCCAAGTGACAATTCTTTGCTTGAGACACTTGGTTTCTTAATGGTAGGCTTGCTTTGGGCACTTGTGATAATGCCAAAGAAGAAGATGAGACTTGATAAGCTTGTCGGTGGCGGCTTACTTGCTATTTACTTTTGCTTCTTGTTCTTGAGATTGGCCAGGGTATTTGGAGTCCTTGATATCGACCGGTGAATTTTAAGTATTGTGAGTTTTTAAATTTTGTTTGGGTTGTTTTTGTAATAGTTGGTTGATTGTTGTGGGTCGTATATAATTCCTTCGAAGTTTAGGTCTTGTGAATATTGAGAGTGATGGTTATATTTGTTTGTTGCTATTCAATTTCTTTCAGACTTACTTACCAGGATTAAGAACGTATTGGCACTTTTTCTAGGTTCATTGTTCATGATTTTTGTAAGTATATACAAGTAGTGATCAGTGCGCAAAGTTATTATTTAAAAAAAAAAATATTAAAAAACAATACCTCTTACTCTGTTTTGAATTTATAAAATTCAAATTTCTTAATCCGTTTTGATTTTATAAAATTTATTACTCTTTTTGAATTTTAGAGTTTATTTAAATTTTATCAAAAATGATTTACTTTTTACTTGGTTTTAGTTTTAATTTTTTTAGTTTAAAAAAAAACCCACATCAACATATTTGCCAGTGTAATATTTTTAATTTGATGAAAAAGCCTTTGTAGTTTAATATACTATTTAAATAATCTCGAGGTTTTAATTGTAAGCTAACAGCAACTTGATGTAAAAAAAAAAGTAGCAGACACTTTGAAAGTTCTTATTGAATTATACCAAAAATAAATTCAGCAAGTGAGATGGATAATCACAAGTCACAACAACCAGTTCTCCTAAAAATCTGTAAACGTTTATCTCATTTATACTATCTTTATGCAAAACTATAACCGAATACACTGGTTGACTGGGCGTACAAAGCCGCCCATATACACATAACGCGACATTACCAACTCCTTCCTAGTTTAGGAATCAAGTGAGACGATCTTGTTGTGTAAATAAATACGAAATTTCTGAGAGTAAGAAATAAACAAATTCAACCGTCTCGATTTTATATAAAATCTCTCTGAAGATGGAAGAGAGTCATAACCCTAATTCCTGGTCGGAGCTCCCTACAGATCTCCTCATTTCGCTGTTGGAACACCTAAGCTTTACTGATTTCCTACGAGCTAAATCCGTATGTCGTTCTTGGTACTCCGCTTCCAGACAATGCATGCCCAAAAATAATCACACCCCTTGGCTGCTTCTTTTCTCCGAAAATAACAACAACAACGGTTGTTGCACCTTATTTAATCCCGAGGAAAAAAACAAACTCTACAAGACGCAAGATCTTGATTTGGAACGCCCAAGCCTTTTTTGTTTAAAAACCTCTGGAAGTTGGCTCTTGATGCAAAATCGTTTCAATAATCTCTACGTTGTGAATCTCTTCACCAAGGAAAGGATCAATCTACCTCCTGTGGAGTCACAAGTTGGTACGACAAAGTTGGAGCGGGGTGCAGTTGATTTTTTTCGCATTACACTTCCTGACGGAAGTAAGCCGGTCAAATCTATGCGCATACGATCCCCTGTGTTTTGGATTGACGAGAAAACCAAAGATTATGTAGTTGCATGGGGACTTGGACCATGTTGTGTCGTGTATTCCAAGAAAGGAGACAACTCGTGGTTACAAATCCCTGAAGCTTTGGATTGTTTTGACATGGTTTACAAAGACCACAAGCTTTACTTCTTAAGTGAATCCCGTGATTTTATAATCTTTGATTTTTCAGGAGAGGCTCCGCAACAATGCTTTTGGGTTAGATGTGTTTATGTCGAAAGATTTTATACGTCGGGTCCACGACGTCCTCATCCAAGTAACAAAAAGAGGCTTAGTTCCACAAAGCTTGTAGTCACAGTGAGTGGAGATGTCCTCAAGGTTGAAACATTCGTTAGATCTTTGTCGAGGATCTGGTCCTTCCGTATCTTTAAAGTTTGTTCATCAGGGTTGTTTGAACGAGTTAAGTCCTTGGGTGACGAGGCAATGCTTTTGGAACTAGGCATCACTGTGGTCGCTAATAACAATGAGGGAATCAGTAGAAACTCCATCTATTTCAGAGGTTGTTATAACGATAACACATGTGACATCTCTCTCTTCAATCTCGAGACACGGAAGATGGAGAAACTACATAAATTGGATTGCTCTTCTGATAAACTCTCGGCGAATCGATGGTTCTTACCAAGTTTCACGCAGGGAATGGCGTGATTGACCTAAACTATGTTTCCCTCTTTAATATAATGTTTTACTCAAAATTAATGATGTCTACATCCCAGTTTTTTTTTAAGTTACGAGTGATATAATACTCAAAGTTTAAAGCTGCAAATCAAAAGAATAATAACACAAGTGCATCTTCATAATAAGACACATCAGCATTTTAGTTAAGAGTGATATATAATCAAAGTTGACATTCTTTGCTTGAGACACTTGACTTCTTAATGGTAGGCTTGCTTTGGGCATTTGTGATAATGCCTAAGACGAGTGGTTTATATTTGTTTGTTTCTGTCAAACTCACTAGATTAAGAAAGTAGTGGCATGTTGTTTTAGGTTCATTGTTCATGGATTATAAACAACATATATACGGCATTAGTATTTTTTTGTACTAGCAGTCAAAACTTATCATTTTTTACTGAATTTATGACTCTATTTTCAAGAATATTAAACATTTTAAATTTAGACATATAATATGTGAATTAAGCAAAAAAAAACTTTTGAATTAAGCTTTACAAATCCACTCGAAGGCAACCATTTTATTATGATCTACTTATTAACTAGATTTTGACCTTTTAAGTGACCTGTATCAGTTTGGCTGTTTTGTGATCTTAAGCAGAGCAGATATATAGCCTAATTTAATGTAAAACTAATCAGTTTATACAGAGATAAGAAACACTGCAAAGTGTCACATACTCACATTAAACTTTGAATTATCAGAAAACGTCATTCCTAGACAATTTGAAGAGAAACAAGAAAATGTGAAGTTCAAAAAACAACAACAAAATGTGCCAAATTATTATGCACACGACTAATGAGATAAGGAAATTGAATTTGATATTTTAGTATACAGTAACAAATTAAAACAAACAAAAATAAAAGAAAAAAAAATCAAAAATAAAACAAACAGTCACATCTTTTTTTTTTTTTGTCAAACAACAGTCACCTCTTATCTTAAGTTTTAAAATAGTACTAGATCCTAACCCGCGCAACCGCGCGGATTTATTTTTAATTTTTAATTTTTATTTGTATCACATGTTATATTCGATACATAATCAGTGTTTTGCAATTCGACCGAACCCGAGATTGAACCAAGAAATTTGGTCATCAATATGTAATCCAGTTTGGTTTTAGAAAACACAATTATATAAAAGAACTTATTTATGAAATTACTAAGAAAGACAAAATTAGATTATAGTAAGACGGTAGAGAGATAGTAAAAGAAAAGAGGAGAGAATGTGAAGTTTTAGTTAGTTAATGAAATATATAATTTTTAGGGTCATTTGACTTAATTTCATTATATAAGAACACAATAAAAGCAGTAAAAAACCGTTAAAATCTCGAATTCAATCCAATAGATAATTTCTACTTTTTTATTTTAGATTTTGTAACTATGTTATCAAATTTTGTTTTGTATTCTATATAAAAATAAGGTTTTTATTTTTTTACAATCATTTTCATCTATTGTTGACTTTGTTTGTCCTTCGATTTTTTGTGTGTTTTAACTTTTTGTTTATCGTGAATTTTACTTACAACTTGACTTCTCTAATTTTGATTTGTTATTTTTAGATTTATTTTCATAAATAAAAAAAATTCTTATATTTTAAATATATAATATAGTATTATGTAGTAAAATTAATTTATTTATTAGCATGTGGTTCACCAGCAATCGATATAAGTGGTAAACAACTTGATTATTCTATATAAGTGGTGAAGAATTTTTGTAGGCAATTTACATAGTGATTTGTAATATTATAGGTCGATCCACAAAGCAAGGAACAAAAATTAATTTAGAAACAAATTAGGTGATTAATAATATGTAATATTATAATTGTTTATGTATTTTAGTTTATCTATTATATTGTTACAGTAAAGATTATTTATTAATTATGTATGTAGGAAAGATTATTTATTAATTATGTATGTAGGAAATTGTCTGGTTTGAATTTTTAATTTAATTATTTTATTTGTTTAGAAAAGCTAATAAATCAATTCCCCTTTTTAGGTAAATTTAGTTAAGAAAAATGCATTAACAAATAGGAAAAGACAACAAAACTAAAATATAGCTAAATTTATTACTTCAATGGCATATGATTGTAAATAACTTGAAAAATTAAGAGGTAATTTATTTGGGTACTTCTATTTTAATAAAGTAGATAGATGAAATTTGACCCAAAATAAAGAGACGAGTGTTGTCGATTCAAGTAACTCCCTCAATACTGAGACTTAAATAGACTATAGTAATTCCCTCTATGAAACAAAAAGAATATGTCCAAGAAAAAATATAGTACACATTATACTATGCATGACCTAAAGATTGTGTGGGCATGTATAAACTTTATCATCAAGCAAAGCATGAGTAGAGATTGTTGACTAGTCGAGCATCTTACACGTATTAAATTTCTAGCTACTCTCGTTGAATTCCATAACTACATTTATTATACATACATGCATCCCATGCTCGACCTATACATAGTAAGCTACTCATATTGCGAAGATTATATACGTATGAAACTCTGAGTTTAAATCAAAGGTTAGCTAGTAAGAATCTCCAATTGTTTGTACAATTCTTATAGACAATGAAGCCAAGTAAATAACCAAAAGCCCTAAACCCATCACACCACCAAGCCTCATCCGATTACTAAACAGAACCAAGAACGACCAAACCAGTCCTACGACCAGAAACCCAAGACTCTCCAACAAACGAGGATCTGTCTTTATCACAATACTCGTCGGATAAACCTCCCACGCACATCCCACAAGCGATATCCCAAGAGCAAACAATGTATTAAAGATAGGACCCGCGTAACATCCCGATACAGCCACTTGAGCTCCTTCGTCCCCATCGTGTAACGCCATGGTCACGTTGGTTATAAGATCTCCTATAGAGTTTCCCCATGCTAGGACCGTTAGGCCTAAGATCGACGGGCTAACGCCCAAAATGTAACCTATTGAAGTTAGAAGCGCAACGAGTTCTTGTGCTGATATGTAACTCCATGTCATGCTCATTACAAACCCTCCTGCTAACCATGGTAATAACCATTTCTTTGGTGGGTTTGACTTCTTGGTTGTGGCTAATGCAGTGACACCAAGAACTACACCGACCGAACACCCGGTTAGATACACAACTCCTGCCTCAAAACTCGTTGGACTCCGCTTCCAGTTCCATAGAAACGACAACAGAAGCGGAGCTAATGTGACCGAGGCAACAGCTATTGGTTTAGACCATTTGACTTCACTAACAACAGGAATAGTTAGTGTCCTTGGCAAGTAGATAGGCAGAGTGATAAACCAAACCACCAACTTCCAGTAATGTCGCTGATGATCGTCATCATCAGCGACATTACGATGCTCTTCTTCAACAACACCATCATCAAGATCGTCTCTCTGCAAGATTGGTTCACTAAGACTCCCACGCTTATGAACTGACTCAAGATCAAACTCACCACCTTCTCCACCAAACCTCCAAGAAAGATACACAAAGGCAACATAAACAGCATACAGTGAACAGAACCCAAGAGCGCCCCAGAAGTTAATCTTTCCATAAACCAAAATCAAAGCCAATGAGCCAATAGCTGCACAGAAGAAACAAACGTCTCTTATAAAAGCAGACCTCTCGATCCGAACACTTCTAGTACGCAACGAGATACTTATAATCCCAACAACAACGCACGTGACGAAAGAAGAGCCTCCCACAACAGTGTTGAGACCAACATCGTAAGTACCCTTTGACTCCCCCATGAAAGAGACCAAACTCGCGAACAAATCAGGAGCGCCATTACCTAGCGAGAGAAGAGTCACGCCGGCAACGGTTGGAGATAAATTGAGAAGCTTTGAGAGAGACTCGAGAGATGAACAGAAATACTCGGATGCAGTGTGGCCCAACACGTAGAACAGAGCAAGGAGCCAGAGGAAGAGGAGAGATTGACCCAAAAGTGGAAACTTTTCGAAATTACAATAGAGTAAGGAGAGGTAATCGATGAAGCCTTGGCTCGCGCAAGGGTCGATGGTTTTCAGGTAAGCGCACTTTGATTCGTAGTCGTGAAAGTGCTTCAGGGCACTGCAATCATGCTCTGTTTTAGGCTTTAGAGCGCTGGAATCAACAGGGCTCACGAAGAGGACGCAAGAGAGAGCAAGGAGGAATGTGATTCTCAAGAAACCGAAACGGATTGAAGAGAAGGAGAATCCCATCAATCAGGTGAAACCTGGAACTTAGAAAAAAAACAGAGTAACCGGATCAAAACAGAGTAAAACAGAGCAAAACAGAGCAAAACAGAGAAAAACGATAAGGTGGATTTTATCAAATTTTAAGAGATTGGGTTTTTTCGGAGTGAAGAATCTATTAATGGGTTACGATTAACAGATCATGAGACGTGAGAGAAACAGATGGATAAAACACAAACACGACGCGGAGAGAGAGATAAAGGAAGAACCTTTATTAATATCTTGATAAAGCAAAAAGGTAACGAATCCACCGGATTGCGGAAGAGAGACGAGCAAAGCTAAGAATACACACACATACACACACACACGTACACTTGAATAAAGGACCTGCGTGATGAAGACAAACGTCAGAAAACAGAGTATTCGATTTTTATTTTTCTTTTATATATAAAGAATACGAAAAGTTTGTCACTTTGTCATTACCGTTTTGGGCTTCGGTGTTTTCGGACAAGGCATATCAACTATGTGTCGGCTTCACGATCGGTCCTCTCTGCGTCATTTTCCCATTCCATTACGTTTTCGTGGAAAGAGAAAAGAAGTAAAAGACGAGAGGGACTCAACAGAAAAAAAATTACCTTTCCACTTTCTACAACTAAATAATATTTTAAGAAGCCGACCATTTTGTGCTGATTCCTTTTAGCACTAAACTAGGATCATTCCGGTTCAGTTGACGATCAAAACCGAACCGGTTTAGGGTTAACTAGGGGAATTAGTCAATTACAAAATGTAACGAAAACCGGGTCTGAAGGAATGGTTTTGTTTCAAAGTTGGAGTGAGCCCGGCCAATTTTGTTTGTTTTAACACCGAACTTGGACCAACTTATATAACTAACATAATGATATTCTTTCTGCTTTCTAAATACTGATGTTTAAATAAGAAACCAATATTTTTGTCTGTTTATGTTTTTAGGCTAGCTATGATAATTTTCATATTTCGTTTTCCTTGTTTGGTTGAGTTTCATTTACTATGAAATCAAGATAATCCATTTTTTAAGCTGTTATTAGATGACCGCATCTAGTCTGTTGTTACTTCCAGTCATATAAGCTAGGATAACTATGTATTAACAATAAACTAATAGTCTAATGGTTTTTCTATTGGGATGGTAAACTGGGAAATTAGTATTTCTACATTCGATATGAAAATTGTTTGTAAGGACAGCGACTATAATCATAAACAAAAGGGAAAATTCCATATAAATACCCCAACTAAATTCTATTAAGCTTTTTAATACCCAAACTTTTTCACTACCCAGTTTAATACCTCAACTAATTATTCTGCCCATTTTAATACACCAACTTTTATAACTGTATCTATTTAAATACTCAAACTCTTTTTATTTTAATTAACAATACTAATAAATTTCAAATGAAATTTTAAAAAATCTCCAAAATTTAAGAAAAAATATTTAAATTTTCTAAGTTTATTTGAAGATTTAAGAAATAAGGTAAACAAACTCTGTAGAAAATTTAATGTTTTAAAAAAAAAAGTTTTTGAAGGAAAAAAAATAATTTACTTTTTATTTCAAAAAAACAAACTAAATTCAATATATAAAACTTAAAAAACTTATTACAAAACTTAAGATTATAAAAAATTTATTTAATTTCGTTACTCAAACATATAATAAAATTAATTTTTTTTCTGAAGTTTAGACATTTTTAAAATTTCATTGGAAATTTATTAGTATTGTTAATTAAAATAAACAAAGTTTGAGTATTAAAATGGATACAGTTATAAAAGTTGATGTATTAAAGTGGGCAGAATAATTAGCTGAGGTTTTAAACTGGGTAGTGAAAAAGTTTGGGTATTAAAAAGCTGAATAGAATTTAGTTGGGGTATTTATATGGAATTTTCCCTAAACAAAACGACCAGAAAAGGACATAAATATAAAAGTATAAAAAGGTTTTATGATCACATTATTATAAAGATAATTTTAACAAAGGAATTAGTAGTTGTATTAGTTACTCTGATAAAGATGTACTTGGTCTAATGAAGTGGACTTTTACTTTTACAAAGCGAAACGAGTAAAAGCCGGTCGAGGGATTCAGATTTAGGATAAGATTTCTTTTCTTTGAAAGTTTATTTTCAATTAAAATCGAAGATAAATATATCAAGTGTAGTGATCAGTGTGAAATGTGAACAGTAAAAGTGCCCAAGTCTTGACATCAACGCGGTTTTCAAACGCGTTTCTCTTTTGGATCAATTCATTTTACATTGTTTCTTCTTTAATTGTGTGACTTAGTTCGTTAACACAAGGAATCAACACGTACGTCCCCTTCTACGTAGAGAAACTTTGGTTACTACTCATGGAGAGAAGATCAACTGTATAGTTGAAGTTTTCGAATTCTGACGAGTCTTGGGTTTAAACACACGGTCACATTTAACTGACTTTCTGAACTTACACATTTGTATCTGAAGTAGACCATTAAGAACAGTTTTTTGGTATTCTTTAAATGAATCAATGTACACACTATAATGATGGCGATAAATGGTTTTATCTTTTAAGATTAGGTTTGTACCTTATCAAAAGACCATTTATAGTTAGGAAAATGAGAAGAAGAAAAAAACTGAAATAAATGCTAGTCGTGTTAAATAAAGACGGCCCATATTTAGAGTTTACTAGTTGCGAATGCGATGTTTAAGATGGCCCATATATAGATAACCGGATATCATACCGGTCGGTATATACCTTGATTGTCCGGTTATCACGAACAAAAAATAATACATATACAGTATATGAACAGGAGATCCCTCCAAAGCTATCACCACCCACCTGGATTAATCGGTTCTCGGTTAAGACTGTTCTCTCTTCCTCCTGCTTCTTCATCTCTCAAGGTCAATATCTATTTCCTGAGAAAATGTCAATCGTACCAATGTACTTGTCAAAACTTGTTACATGATGATGAGATTAGGAGTTACGTACTAGTGCTAATAATTATGAGTATTAGCATTTACATGTTGGTTCCACATAGGATGATTGAAATTGAGGAGATTTTAGTTTGATTCTGTAGGCTGTGTCATGCTTAAAAAGAGACTTGCACAGACAAAAAAAAAAGCAGTCTTAAATCATCAATGTTCTGTTAAACTTTCAGTCACCCTTCTATTAATCCATCAAAAATATCAAACTAAAATGGAAGTTTAATGGACTTGAATATTCAGATTTAATGTTATACTCTATAAACTGCCCCACAAGTATATTGACGAGTCCGGATGTAGACTCAATGTGTTTCAGCAGACCTTCATGGCAAGCAAGGTTCCCAATAATCCCGAGACATATTTCCTTTGCAAGTTCAAACGAAAAAGAAATAAAATCATTCAGTGAATAGAATTAAACAAATTAATCATCATAAAGGAAAATGAGTATCTTTACTCGAATGCGGGAAGATGTTGTGACCAGAAGGTTTGCGTGAAGCACTTGTAAAATTAGGTTCTGTACCTGCAAAGCCAAAATAAGAAAACAGTCACAACTTTCAGTATCAATTCCAGTGCCTAGGAGTCAAAGACAGATAGTACATTACAAAAAGAGCACTACATGGAACCAATCTACTCTCTTTGTCTACAAGGTAAACTAGTGGATTGCTCCCACTAAAAAAGTCTCATCTTAAGACCAGTGCCTAAGGCAAAGTGTAAAAGTATTACCATAAGCTCAGCATGGGTTGAACTGGCAGCAAGATCCCACAAAACGCAACCATGATCTTCCCATGCCTTGTCCTTCTCCTGGGAAGTGGATTCGTTATGGTTATCACTAATGTCCATGCTCTCTACAACACCTTGAACCGAATTGTTGGCATCCATACGAGGATTATGCTTTACCTGAGTGCTTTGATCACTTCCAGAATCTAATGG